TTTGACGTACTGCTTAAAAAAAAGCAAACTGACTGCTCATTAAGTGAAAGACTGTCTTAGAACTGGATGTATTCTTGGGAAATAAAAAAACAAAGTAAAAGCGTGACGCAACAGCAAAGGAAACGTTTTATACTGTTGCTCTTTTGTTGCAGTAGAGAACACAAGACAATGGATCCACTTTGGACTGAATTTGGTGGAAAATTATTATTCAAGGAAAGGTTGATTTATGACTTAACGTGGCTTACTGGGGGCAAAGATGTACAGCCAAACCTGTTCAAGAAACCACCTCCATTCAGCAATCACCCCCTGTTAATAGTAAAACTTTCATTGTATTTTGTCCGGCAGAGGATAGGAGGATTTTGGATAGAGATGTTCCAGAAAGCAGTGAAGGAGAATGGGGGATGGTATCATGGATAGATAGATGGTTAAATTGACTGATTGATTGGTGCATGAATTTGTCACCTCCTGCTTGGATTACTCCAACACACTCCTTACCGGTCTCCCCACAACACCATTCACAAGGTCCAACTCATTCAAAGCTCTATGGCCCCAATACTGACCCGGACTAAATTCCGTACCCAAATCTCACTGGTTCTGGCCAAGATCCACTGCCTCCTCATCACTGAAAGAATCGACTTCAAGATCCTCAAAATCATATTCAATTCCATTCACTCCCTGGAACCTCCCTCCCTCTTCGACTACCTCACTCCCCGCCTCTGCTCGACGGGCAGCGGCTTCCTGCTCATCCCACGCACCCTACGACCCATCATTGGATGTCGCACTTTCAGCCACTGAACCCCAAAAACTCTGGAACACTCTCCCTCAATTTCTCGGCCTTCCCCCCCCCCCCCCCCCCCGCCCACTCCTTCTCCCCTCTTGCAATATGTAGGTATTGAGGGATTTGGAAAAAAAATTAACAAAATGGCAGAGCAGTTTCATGGGCTGAAATGGCCATCTCGTGTTCCTTCGGATTCTGAGGAACAAACTGATTTGTACTGAACAAAAGGCAACTTTCAGATTTGTGTGTGAGTACATCTGAAAACTGGGCTGCGTTGCTGTGAATTGTATCAATATAGTTTTCCTGTGATTGCTTTCTCTTTCAAAGCAACAAAATTATCAACCAAAATAGAAGTGCGTTGTTTGTGCTTAGATCAACATTTCTCGAATGCAGCGCTGGCAATTTCTCCCTCCCTCTCTCCCCGTCACTCCTAATGTATCGGGACTTTGACCTCACGTACACTTCAGTGCTGTGCTTGCCATGTCAACCCGTCCGCTCCCTCTACTCCACAGCCTCCGGGCCTTCAGCCACTCTGACCCCAACGTTTGGAATGTGACAAAAAATTGCAATTGTGTAGTGCCTTTCAAGCCGGGAGGACGCCCCAAGGTAGTGGACAGTAGGTGTTTCGGTCCGGAGCTGGGGGTTGTGGTCGGGGGCCAGTGAAGGGTGGGTGGGGGTGAGGGGGACGGGGGGTGGGGTTAACAACAACAACAAAATGAGATTTACAGAGCGCCTTTCACGTCGGGAGGACGTCCCAAAGCGCTGAACAGTCAGGTGTCGAGGCCCGAGCATGGGGGAGGGGTGGTATAGGAGTGAGGGAAGGCAGAGAGGTGGGAGGGAGACCAAAGGCACGGACGAAGAGAAGGGTCTTGAGACTGGCCTTGAAGGAAGCGCGGGAGGAAGCGAGGCAAAGGTACCATGGGATGGGGTTCCAGAGTGTGGGGGCAAAGAGGCTTAAAGTCTGGCCACTGTAGGGCGGGTCAGGCGGGAGACACGGAGCAGGCCAGAGCCCGCTGAATGGAGGGAGAGGGCAGATTGGTAGGGAGTCAGCAGGTCAGAGAGGTAGGAGGGGGCAAGGCCATGGATGGCCTTAAATGTGAGGACGAGGATCGTGATGTGACGAATGTGTGGGTGAGGGTTTCGGCAGCCTGAGGGGTGAGGCAGTGGCGGAGTCTGGCAATGTTGCAGAGGTGGTGGTAGGCAGTGCCGGTCATGGCGCGGATGTGGGGAAGAAAGGAAAGTTCAGGCACGTTCGAAGAGGAGGGTCTTGAGATGGGTCTTGAAGGAGGCAAGGGAGGGGGTGCATCTCAAGATACATCTCAAGACCCTCCTCTTCGACCGCACCTTTGGTCACCCTCCTGTACCTAGCCTCCCTGCCCTCCACCCCTCCTGATCCAAATCCCTCTGCTCGGGTCCAAATCTATGATTGTCCAAAGCCTTAGGACATCCTCCCAATGTGAAAGGCGCTGTGTAAATATAATTTCTTGTTGTTGTTGGGAGGTGTGCTGCATTGTTGGAGGCTTCTTCACTCAGATGAAATGTTATCTCGAGCTCCCCAACTACCTGTTCAGACAGATGTCCAAAATCTTATGGCACTGGTTGAAAAGAATTTCTTTTCCCAGTGTCGCAGTGACAACTCCCCGATGAAATGGGTCACCTTCTTCATGGCTTTTGTGGATGTTGCTGTGCACATTTTAGCTGTCGTATTCACCGACAAACACAGTCACTCTACATTAATGTAAATTCGCAAAGTACATTGAGATGTTGCCCTAATGTGAAAGGCACTGCATCAAATGTAAGGATCATATTCATTTACATTTTACATATTTTTTGATCATATTATATTGATGTTTGCCCACAAAATATACCATTTATTTGCTTCATAGTATGCTCTGTGAAGCGCTTTGAGACATCTCAAAGACGTGATAAGTCGCTATATCAAATGGAAAGATTATTATTATCTTCATTGGCTGTTTGTGGAATATTTCTGAGCGGCTCTTTGCATTATGAGATGCCACAAGTGTACCAGCAGATGGCTCCATTGCTTTGCTTAAACCGTTCGTCATCTGCTTTCACTAAGGGTTCAACCCAACCTGCCAGTGTTGGCACTGGCAGGTTGCAGACGAGGAGTCTCTCACAATCTGTAGGTGGAGGATCCCTGGAGGGAAGTGCAGAAGTTTGGAGCAAGGAGGTTGATCCATCCAGTTAAACAGTTGGAGGGATAAGCTGTGAAGAATGATTAGGTAACCTGGGACTCAGACTCAGAATCCAAATGAAAACCATCTCATTTGTTAGGGCATGGGCCTCGCTTGCAGCCGAGCCTCCACCCAGAAACTAAGTTCAATCTTAACAAACCAAAATAGCGGATTTATTAAACATACAAATAATGTTGGTTATACAGAATTAATGCAGTATAAAGTAACAGCAATCCTACCAGTCCTTCTGCCCTGGAGAGACCTCTAAAGACCACCCCCTTTGCCCAAGCTTACATATCTTTTTTCTTTCCTTTCTGCCTTATTTGGGCTTGTTTCTCACTGTTCTAGTCCCCCGCCCCAACCGCCCTACCATCGATGGCCGGACCTTCAGCCTCTCAACCCCGAGGCTCTGGAACTCCATCCCCCAGTGCCTTCGCCGCCTCCTCCCTTTCCTCCTTCAAGGCCGGTCTCAAGTCCTTTATCTTTGACCGAGCCTTCAGCTCCCCTCTCGACTCTCTACCCCCTCCTCGCTCCCTCCCTTCCCTCCCCTCACCCTGACCATTTCCCCTTTGCTCGGGTCCTGACCCAACTGTACAGCGCCTTGGGACGTCCTCCCGACGTGAAAGGCGCTCTATAAATGGAATCTTGTTGTTGTTGTTGTTGATGTACCTGTCCTGGCACCCTCAAATATTTACTTATATGAACGCCCAGGTCTCTCTCTAACGTTCTACCATCGGCTTATATCGCCTCTCCTCATTCTTCCTCCCAAAATGCAACGGTTCGCATTTCTCCACATTAAACTGAATCTCCCAACGTGTTTGCCTATTTTATCAGTCGCTGGAGCCAGAGGAACGGAGCGTACAGGCAGATAGGTAGAGGGATAGTAGGTCGGAGAGGTAGGAGGGAGCGAGACCGTGAATGGCCTTGTAGGTGAGGATGAGGATCTTGAAATCGATCCTGTGGGGGATGGGGAGCCAGTGGAGGTGAGCGAGGGTGGGAGTGATGTGGTCCCGAAGCCTGGTGCGGGAGATGAATATTTTAAAAAAGCGTACGGTATGATAGGCTTTATGAATATGGGCACAGAATACAAAAGTCAGGATGTTATGGTGAACCTTTTCAAAACACTGGTTAGGTCTCAGTGAGAGACGGTGTTCAGTTCTGGGCACCACACTTTAGGAAGGATGTCAAGGCATTGAAAGGGTGCAAAGGAGATTGACCAGGAAGGTTCCAGGAATGAGAGACTTCAGGTATCAGGAAAGGTGAGAGAAGCTAAATTTATTCTCCTTGGAACGGACAAGTTAAGAGTAGACTTAATTTTCAAAATTATGATGGGATTCGATAGGGTGAACAAGGGGAAACTATTTCCACTGGCGGGTGGGTGGGTCACCCGAGGACACCGATTTAAAATATTTAAGTGAAACAGAGGGGAAGTTTCTTCACACAGCGGATTGTTGAGATCTGGAATCCATTGCCTGAATGCGTGTGGAAGCCGATTCGATAACAGCTTTTAGGAGAGAAGTAGATAAATATTTGGGGAGGACAAGTTTGCAGGGCTATGGGCAGAGAGCGGAGGAATGGGATTGATTTGGATAGATCTTTTCAAACAGCTGGCACAGACATGATGGGCCAAATGGCCTTCTTATGCGCTGTATGATCCTAGAAGCTTTCGCAATTAGTTCTGTATTTGTGCCTCATTAACACTCTTTATTGGGCAATATCGGTGAATCAGATGGATGGGTAGACAAGAATATAGAATAGGTTATTGGTAGTGAAAGGTGAAAGGGTTTGACGATAAAATGGATCGTAATAATAATCCTTCCTTTTGATATAGAACCTTATCACGGTTTTGGTGCCTCTCGAAATACTTCGCAGAATATAATGTAAAGCGAATTGACTATAACTCGTGATCGAAAATTTTCGGATTGAAATGTGCCCGTTTAGGATGTGAATGTAATGTAAAATGATTGGAGGAGTCTCAAAACGCCTACAGCAATGAGAGAGACAAGATAATGAGGCGGGGCTAAAAGATGACCTCTCAAATGCATCACTTCTACATTTACTTCTCTAGTGTCAGAAGGTGTCAAGAGGAACAGGACGTGAACACTGTTTTGTGGTGTCTGAACATTATGGGATTGGAACATGTTCTCTTCCCAGTCATCACAATCTCTCTATTTGGTTAGTTAATCTATTTATGTGATCCGTCAGGCTATACAGTCAAGACTCGACTAGCACCAACATTCACATGGGTCATCTCCAACCCCAATCTCAGTCAATACACTTTACAGAATATTCTATGAAGCACAATGAGACACTTCAGTGACATGATGAAGAGCTGTACCAAATGCAATGATTGTATTTTTTGTTTTCTTAATATTGTAAATTAATTTTCTGATGATGTTAATTAAGTTGGTGCCCCTCTCTTGAGTAACTGGTAACTTGGTGGAAATTATTTTTACTGTTGACCCTCTGGTAAAGATTTCATATGCTTTTGCCTCTTTGATCTCTTGTTTTGTTTTGTATCTCAGGATGGGATGGATGGGCAGAAAGGAAATGCAGAACAGCCTATTGGTGGTGATAATGAAAGAAATGAGGTTTTGATGATCAAACAAATCATAATAATAATAATTCTTGTATTTGATAGAATGCCTTATCACATTGTTGAGAAGTCTCAAAGTGCTTCACAGTATATATTGTAAAGTGAATTGACTGGATATTGTAGATGAAATTCTGACGCCTATTGCATTTTTTATTAATTGTTCAAACACTGAACAACACATTTTGTTTCTGTAGGTATCAGTGCTGGGGATTCGGTGAGGCAGAGCCCGAGAGCAGTGTGGCGTTTGGAAACAGTCTCAGTTAACATCAGCTGTGATGCCTCAACAACTGCCGACAGCATTTCGATGCTGCTGTTTCGCCATCGACGTGGTGAACGGCCCGCTTTTCTCATCCAAAGGCATTCCTACGGGAAGGATATAAGTGAGGAACGCTTCTCTGTCCGGATGGATTCTTCGAAGAAAAGTTTCATTTTCAGCATCGCTGACCTCCAGCTGAGTGACAGCACTATTTATTTTTGCGCACTGAAGCCCACAGCAAAGGCATCCCCGAGAGAACCGTACAAAAACTGCTGTGGGGGTATGTAGCCCATTGGTTAGATGCTCGCCTCGAAAGCGGCAGGATGTGGGTTGGATTCCTGGGCAGGACAACATCCGAGGCAAGTTTCCTTACTTCACACATCTCTGTTACCTTGCAGTAAGTGTGAACCCGGTTACTATTAAATTGGTGGATCACTTTCCCACGGGTAATAATCCCTTAAAAAATGTAAAAAAAATAGAAAAAAATGTACGCCCACTTCACGACTGGTTGTGTGACAACTGTGCACAATTCGCTGTTCATTTCGCCCACGATATACACAGTTAATTCACTTTACAGTGTATTCTGTAGCTCGGTGGTTAGAGCACTCGCCTTGCAAGCGAGAGACCTGGGTTCGATTCCCAGCAGAGTGAAACCTTGGGCAAGTTTCCTTGCTCCACATGCCCGATAATAATCCCTCCAAAAAAAGAACATTAATAATTTGGCCACTTAGGGTTAGGGTTAGGGTGGGACGCTGCTGTGCGCATTTGGTGCCACGTTTTGCCCACAAGTATACAGTCAATTCACTTTACAGTCTATTCTGTGAAGCGCTTTGAGACGTCGAGAAGACGTGAAAAGCGCAATATCAAATGCAAGAAATATTATTATTATTATTCTGTGAAGCGCTTTGAAGTTGGGGAGCAAGTATAAGCAGAGATATATCACAGTAAGAGCCATGAATAAGATTGTTATCGAATGTTCCAGTGAAGCACAGACAATACGAGGAACGAGCATGAGACTAATGTATTGTAATAATAATAATAATCCTTGCATTTGATATAGCGCTTTTCACATCTTGTAGACGACTCAAAGTGCTTCACAGAATAGACTGTAAAGTGAATTAACTGTATATTTGTGGACGAAATGCGGCAACCAATTGCGCACAGCAGCGTCCCACAAACAGTAATGGATTGAGTGACCAAATCATAATTTTTTTAAACTTCCAATGGAGGAGATTGGACCAGGAAGGGTGAGATGGGCCGAAAACAATCTGCTGTCAAATAACTCCAAGTCTACACGTACTGTAGCTGCAATCCACCAGCAGATGGTACACTGAAGACCTCTTTAGATCTTTTTTTGGGACATCCTCCCGACATGAAAGGCACTGTACAAATGTAATCTTGAAATCTTGTTTAAAGACACAAATAACATGAGCCGTAACTCACGTAACTTGCCACGTTCCTTTCTGCTACTAACTTCCTTGGCAGAAAGAACAGGTGCTTCCTTTTGCCGTTGACATTGGTTGCCCCCTATACGCTGTTGTTGCTTCAGCTGAAATGTTTAAAGATTTGTCTAAAGTACGATAACACAAGGCTAAAGAGGCAATTTCTGTGTCACTTGTTATATATTATTTTCTCTCTGCCAATAAGTAGTGGACCTCCCTGGGTTAGATAAGTAGTGGACCTCCCTGGGTTAGATAAGTAGTGGACCTCCCTGGGTTAGATAAGTAGTGGACCTCCCTGGGTTAAATGGGTTAGATTTTGTAAATGGTAACAGTTCCTGCTTGGCCAAGAAATGGCACTTGGTTTGATTTGGGAAGGAAATAAAAACTGACCTCGTTTAATTTAATTTAGGGATTGGAGAACTATCTTAATCAGACGCTTCCTGCATTGGAAGCAATTCCAAATAGCACTAAATAACAAATATAATAATAATAATAATCCTTACCTTTGATACATCGCCTTTCACCTTGGAGGTGGTAGCAAAGCATTTAATATGAGTTTGGGTAAAAAAAAAAGCGACTGTATTTTGAATTTCAGTCCAGGCGGTTTGCTCAATGTGCCGGACTTGGGTCCTGAACCAACAACTCGTAAGAGAAATAATAATAATAATAATAATCCTTGCATTTGATACAGCACTTTTCATGTCTTCTCGACGTCTCAAAGCGCTTCACAGAATATGCTGTAAAGTGAATTGACTGCATATTTGTGTGCGAACGAAAGTACCACCAACAGAGGCAGGTTGGTGCCTCATCCTTTATGATAGAAAGTAAACCTTTATTCCTTTAGGCTAGAATGCATAGTTCCACGATTCACCAATTAAATCCATAGACTACACCAACTCTCTCTCACTGTATGACGTGCCCCTTCCCTTCACAAATTGTAGACTATACAGAAATCTGTTTTCTGTGTTGTGACTGCACATGATTCCGCGAGTCTTTGCTCCCATCCTCGCCCGGATCCACTGGCTTCCAATCCCCAGCAGATCGAGTTCGAGACCTTCAGCCTTATCTTTACATCCTTCCATAATATTACCCCATCCTACCTCTGTGGTATCCTTGAAATCTACAAATCTCGACATCTTCCTGCCAAGCTTGTCACCAATCCGAATTAGCTCGAAGGGGACTTACATTCCCCCCTCCCTCCCCCAGAGGATAAAGTGTGATACGTTAGTTTCCTCCCATATTGACCAGGTGATGTCCATGTCGCTCGATAAGGAAATAAGATCACAGCGATAAAGTGTCATCTGACTCAGAGCTTTATGTCCCAGATCACCACCAACATCTTACCAACATCAGGACACAGCTGTGGAGTCAGTGATGGGGTTGTGGGGAGACAGTGCGTGTCTGGGTCTGGCTGCCATTTTAATAGGTAATCCGTGGTAACAATAGTAAACGATTCAATCAATTTTCAAATTCATTTCATTGAGTTGGTTTCTCTTTTCTCCTCCTTATGTTTACCATAAAAAAATGATCGTTGCTTTTGGTGTAGCGCTTCAATTCGTCTTTGGGACGTCCCCAAGCGCTTTACAGGACACATTGCAAACTGCAGTGACTGTGTATGTTAGGAACAATGTGGCAGCCAATTGCACACTACAGTGTCCCACAAACAATCGTGGATTGACTGACCAATTTTTAAAATATATATTATTTTCTTTTTGAACGGATTATTATCCCCGGAAAAGCGATCTGCCTATCGAGAAGCGACTGCGATCCTACTTACCTCGAGGTAAACAGAGGTGTTTGTAATAAACAAACTTGCCTGAGGTCTCACCCCGCCAGAGAATCGAACCCCAGACCCCTCACTTGCGAGGCGAGTGCTCCGACCACTGAGCAACAGAACTCCACGTTCTTGTCTTTCAGGCCTGACCCACGGGGATTCTGTCAGGGAGAAGGTGGCTTCAGTGACTGAAAAAGAAGGAGGAAGTGTGACCATGGAATGTCATTATTCTACATCTCTGATCGACCACTATTTACAATGGTACCGAGAACAGAAAGAAACACCGCCACGGTATGTCATTGAAAAGCATTCTGGTGGTGCGACCTATAAAGCAGACTTTGCTGAAAAGCGGTTCGCTGTTGAGCTCCAGACCTTGACAAAATCCAGCAGTTTGACTATCACTCAATTGGAGCTGTCTGACAGCGCTGTGTATTACTGTGCTCTGAAACCACACAGTGCTGAGAACCAGTCTGAGACTCGTACACAAACTGGCCGTGTTTAGCAGGTGTGCGCTTGGCTGGCAGCAGCGCTATCTGGTAGGAAGGGAGACCAGACAAAGAAAACAACACATTGCAGCACATCTGACTGCTACAGAAACCCTCAATGATCCCATGAGCGAAGCACTCATAACCCTGGTAAATAATTAGTCGTCTCAAATCGCTTCAAAGTATATCCCGTATCTTTTGTGGGCCAAACGCAGGAGCCAATTGCGCACAGCAGTGTCAAGTTATGGACTGGATGACCATCTTATTTTTATTATGTTTTATTTATTAATTAATTTATTTTTTGGAGGGATTATTACCCCCAGAAATTAATCGCCAATCAAATAACAACCGGGTTCCTAATTACTACTTGGTAAACAGAGGCGCACCCATGTTGTGGAGTAAGGAAACTTGACCAAAGGTATTGACCAAAGGTATTGCTGTTATTGTCTAAATATGCAAAGATCACATGAAATAAAATAAATGCAATGAAAATCGTTCATTGGAAAGTGTTTCTTTTCACATGGCTGTTTCACCCTTTTCAGAAATAGACTTTTGGAACGGAACGAGCACTCTCTTCCTAGAAGAACCTATGCCGTTTACCTAATTCTGGAAAGCGTTACGCACATGTTGGCGAGAGCCAAGACTTAGGGACCCCAGAGTGAGCATTGGGGTAACTGCTGGAGTCTAACCAGCTAATGTGATATAGCTTACAAATCCACATTGCTGTCTGGCAAGTTTTCTCATTGTTTGTCCAGCTAACACCATCCAACCTGTTAAGGTTTTGACTTATAAGGTTAGCAGCAGCTCATTGGGATGCCTCCTTCTCCCCCAATGACTATTCTGCCCTTCCAGTGCCGGTTGGGGTCGGTAACCCGAGGGCACAATTTAAAATAGTTCCTTACAGAAACAGAGGAAATGTGGGGAGAATCTTTTTCACACAGCGAGTTGTCGACATCTGGAATCCATTACCTAAAAGGCTGGTGGATGCCGATCGATGACAACTTTTAAGAGAGAAGTAGACGTATATTTGGGGAGGACAAGTTTGCAGGGCTGTGGGGAGAGCGCGGGGGAGTGAGCTTGAATTGGACAGCGTTTCTTTCTATGAATTGCATAGAGTTTCTTAAACCTGTTCAATGATAGTTTCTTTTATTTTAAACATGCATTTCAGGTCTGACGCATGGAGATTCTGATACTCAGATCGTGCCTTCAGTCACTCCGACACAAGGAAGACAGATGACTTTGGAGAGTAACTATGCTGCATCCTTGAGGAGCTATTGTATACATTGCTGCCGTCAACTCTCAGAGAAAGAAACCGAGTATACCCTGCAAATCTGGACCAATTCTTTCGAAGATAAAGCGAGTTTTGCTCAATTTTGTTTCCTGGTTGTGCTGCAGACCTCGAGAGATGTCACCAGTTTAACTATTTCCACGATACAGCTATCTGACTCCGCTACGCATTGCTGTGCAGTCAGCCCCACAGTCTGGGAAACTAGTTACAGCCTCGTACAAAAACTACCCTGGCTTTATGAGGTGCCAATCAGGCGAGCAATGCTACCTGCAGGAAGTCTGTCTCACAGGAACCACTTTCACCACAAATCAACCTGTCTACTGAAGACTCACAAAATGATGCGTCACTATCACGACACATAATTGGGGTGGGACAAGTTTGCAGGGCTATGGGAGAGCGCGGAGGAATGGGACTGATTTGAAAGCTCTTTCCAAAGGGCCAGCGAAGACACAATGGGTCGAATGGCCTCCTTCTGTGCTGTATAATTCTATGATTCTGTAAATGCAGAGTGTGACGTTACAGGGCTGTCCTTCCTGACTCTCACCTACTTTTCAGAATGTGCCTTTTTTAAAGAAAAAAGTCGTCGCGTTTGACATCTCCGTAACATTTCGGCTCAGCCCTTTCATGTCCTGGCAATTATTCTAACACTTACACTGAATCCCGAAGCATCGTGGAAGGACCTCTCAACTCGCAAGAAACAAGGGCCGGGTTCGATTCCAGGGCGGGGCCAAACCTAAGGAAAATTTCCTTACTACACATGCCCCCGTTTAACTAAAAGCAATTATAAAACCCACTTTGATAGTCAATTGTCTGTCCGCTTTTCAGGGTGTGACAATCCCTTAATAATTATAATAATAATTTCACAACTCAATCCACTAATGTTGGTTGGACACTGTGTGTGCAATTGCCTGTTGTGTTTTTCCCACAGAATACGTAACATACACTTAACTATATATGAAGCGATTTGTGACGGCTCAATGACCCGATAAGGCACGATATCAAATATGTAGATGATTATTACTCGATACAGTGCTTTTCCAAATCAGCAGGAAGTGTCATATAATACTTGTAGAGGTCAATGTGCGTTTTGAGGGCGAACACTGTTTCTCTCACAAAATATATAGTCAATTTACTTTACGGTATATCATGTGAAGCGCTTTGAGACGTCTCGAAGACGTGATAAGGCGCTATATCAAATGCAAGGATGATGATGATTATTATTATTAGAATAACCCTTTCCAAACTGTGACTTGTGGCATGATCTGGTTGGATTTATTTGCAAATTCACTTTAACCCAGGACTCGTCAATGGTGATTCAGTACTCAGACCCCTGGTGAAATGACAGTGACAGAGAGTGCAGTTACTAGGTTGGAGTGAACCACACCATCTTCACCTCAACAGCTAATTACAGCCTCTCTTGGTTTTGCCGGGGACACCCGGTCAGGCCCCGCGGTGTCTCCTGGTATAAAAGTCACTGCGGAGGGCTTTGACCATTTCATAATAATAATAATAATAATAATAATAATAATAATAATAATCCTTGCATTTGATATAGCGCTTTTCACGTCGGGAGGATGTCCCAAAGCGCTTCACAGAACACACTGTAAAGTGAATTGACTGTATATTTGTGGGCGAACGCGGCAGCCAATTGCGCACAGCAATGTCCCACAGACAGTCGTGGATTAAAAATGACCAATTTTATTATTGTTTTTGGTTTTGGAGGATTATTATTAGGCTCTGTGTGGAGTAAGGAAACTTGCCCGAGGTTTGGCCCTCTGCCTGGGATTGAACTCAGGTCTCTCACTTGCAAAGCGAGTGCTCTAACCACTAAGATGCAGGACTCCACAATGGCGACTTCATGGCGACTCTAAACATGGAGAGGAGGACCTACCCTTTATTCATAGATAATGCTACTAGTAATAAAAATAATAATAATCTGAAAGCATTTGATATAGCGCCTTAGCACATCTTGGAGACATCTCAAAGTGCTTCACGGGATATACTGTAAAGTGGATTGGCTGTGTTGAACAAGGCAGTCAATTGTTACATCCCACAAACAGCCATAGAGTGAGTGACCAAATCATTACTTAATAAGAATAATACTTGTGTTTGACATAATGACTGATCACATCTTCGACACTTCTAAAAGCGCTTCATAGAATATATTGCAAAATGAATCGACTGTATTTTCGAGGACGAAACTTGGCAGCCAATTAACCATAGCAACATTCCATAAATAGCCGTGGATTAAAGTAACTAAATTATTATTATTATTATTTTTGAGGAATCGTTAACCCCGGAAAGTGACCCGCCAGTCAACTAAGAAACAGGTTCCAAACTGCAAACAGAGGCGTCTGAAAGCCACAGACATTGTGGTATGTCGTTGTGCTCTGAGACTCACAAGTGTAAAATGTGCACTAATCCTCCCACACAAACTCTTTCCATCTGACATTGAAAATATGGCAGTTGACAGGTGGACTTTTTTCAGAGAAACAGCTATGCATAATTGCGTGCCTCTGTTTCTCTGAATCCAAACCATAGCTCACCAACAGGCCACGGAGGATGGTTGGAAGCATAATGTTCTCCGTTTTATAACCGTTATGATTCAGGGAACCGCTAACATTTCCTTTACTGGAGAGATAAAGTGAAGTCTGAAAATGCCGCTGCATGTAGCCCCGCTCCCTTTCGTAATCGTTAACTATTTCGAATTCAAGATCCTCATCCACACCTACAAGGCCACTCACGGCCTCGCTCCCTCCTACCTCTCCGACCTACTATCCCCCTACCTACCTGCCAGTACCCTCCGTTCCTCTGGCTCCGGTCTGCTCCACATCCCCCGCCCCAACCGCCCTACCATCGGTTGCCGGGCCTTCAGCCTCTCAGCCCCGAGGCTCTGGAACTCTATCCCCCAGTGCCTTCGCCACCTCCTCCCTTTCCTCCTTCAAGGCCGGTCTCAAGACATTTCTCTTTGACCGAGCCTTCAGCTCCCCTCTCGACTCTCTACCCCCTCCTCGCTCCCTCCCTCCCTTCCCTCCCCTCACCCTGACCATCTCCCCCCCTTGCTCAGGTCCTGACCCAACTGTACAGCGCCTTGGGACGTCCTCCCGACGTGAAAGGCGCTCAATAAATGGAATATTGTTGTTGTTGTTGTTGTTTACATACGTTTGAAAGTACCTTCCATGGAAAATCTAGACAACAAAATAAAAATAGAATTTTAATGGTAGAGATTACTCCATACGGGGGGCACTATTGAGCCCGCAATGGGACATCCAACAACAGAATTACCCATTGAACCTATTGCCTATTGAACACATACATTGTTGATACCAATGATACAACAACCATGTATGTGCTGAGTGTGTGCATCGTGTTTGGGATGTTGTTTACAGGTACGTGGACGGGAAACACAGGTTAGATGCTGATTATTAAATAGAGGGAAACATAGTTCAGATAATGGCTAAGTTTGTGGAAGTTGGGGCTTTTTCGACGGAATTTACCTTAAGGAGGTGAATAAATTATAAATTGATTATTATAATCTAAATAGATTATTCCATTATAATAATAATCCTTGCATTTGATATAGCACTTTCCACGTCGGGAGGACGTCCCAAAGCGCTTCACAGAACACACTGTAAAGTGAATTGACTGTATATATATTTGTGGGCGAACGCGGCAGCCAATTGCGCACAGCAATGTTCCACAAACAGTCGTAGATTGAAAATGACCAAT